TCATTTTTAACACTAAATCAATATCTGTTACCATATATTAAGCCCCGAAGAAGATCTCAGTGTAGATCGAAAACGTTCGGCTAATCTATTATTTTTGGATACCTTTTCACTGATTAATAAAATAAGTAATTGAAACAAACACTTACAAATAAATTTGTTTCATTTGTGGTCGTGTCACACTCACCACAATGACCCTCCATTGCAATCTCAAAGTCTCAAATTTTTATCTTTAATTATAAATGCATTCATTGTATCTCAATAATCAATCTATTAATTGTACAATAATTCAATACAACAGTAATATTAGATTCTAGTTATTACTAGAATATAAACAGTAATTTAGTAACAGTAATAAAATGATGCATTCATTTGAATACAAGTTTGTTAAGATTCTTAACTTAAGAATATGGCACTAATACCATACAAACATTGCAATACATTACTCATTGCAGAATTTCCATTCTCACCACTTTGTGTCTCAATTCTTATGAATATTTCGTAAATGACCAAGCAACCCAAGTATTCTATTAACCTATGTATGTGACTGTCTGGTAGACAGTGTCTACTTACTGTAACCCTACCCTGACCAGTGCAATGCAAAACCCACTGTTATTCACGAATATGCTATGACTACTGATTGGTGTGTGGGGTGAGTGTCACGCGGACATTGCACTGACCACACAGTCAGTGATCAAGCAATTAGTTTTATCAGTCGTACAGAATTTCAAGTGTGTACTATTAGTTCATTACTATTCATTACTATTAGTGGGCCATTAGTGCACAATGGATGCTCTCATCATAATTACCCTGACCACTAACCATATCATCCATTTATTGTACAATACCATAGGACACATATCCCGTCTAAATTGAATGTCTCATTCAAAGAATATTCAGCCACAATATATCAGGGTTATTTTACAATTCTGTGGCACAAATTGTCACATAACTTATACATTAAATACGTCACCAATGGATGTGAAGGGGTGTCTAATGCTATACATAATAATAACATTAATAATAATGATTAATAACATGAGTGTGTTTTAGGGGACAGTTACTGTCCTGTCGTAATCATTTACAGTATAAATTGAAGCAATTACTATATATCAGCTCTATGGACACCGTTCACTGGGAGGGAGTTTGATGTCAATATATATATTCCTCAAAATACTTGCAAATCGAGTAGAATTGTTGCATTTGTATTAAATTTCAAACTTTTTATAATCTTGAATAATATTGAAATAATAATCTGTAAGTTGGATACTAAGGGAATCTAATTGAATAGATAGGTATCCCTCCCTATCCTTCCCTCCCGAGTGTTGTGAGGAGTGACTTATATGAGTTCAGTAGTGATAGCCTTATGCGTGACCTTCGATAGCATTAAAGGAGAGATAAGTCGTAACGCATGCGTACTGACAGTCACTTCACTCAAGACTTCTCCACATTCACTGATTGTAAGTCACATTCATTCACTAAATTCAGTGTATTTTATATACATTTCCATCGATTTAACCGTAATTTCCACTAAATTAGTGATCATTTAATTACATTTAAGCATAAAATTGCGGAAATAAGTGCAAAAAGCATTGAATTGAATGCAAGGATAGTATGGGTTGGATGTGTGGCCGGCATTGCATGGAGTCTATAGTGTCGGCCATTATTTGCATTCAATTCAATGTGTTTTGCGATTTGAATGCATTTTACCATATATTCATGAATTGAATTGATTTTGTCTTACAGTTTGTGTTGAATATACACTCAAAGCAAACACCACTTCATAAGCAATGGCTTTGAATCAACTGATCGCCAAACACCAGGCCTTGAGCCGAGCACTGGTATGTCATACATGTAATGGTGTAATGAATTGATGGCTAACTGTTGTCTTACTCGCAGCTGATGAGAGGGAACTGCTTTCGTCCGGTGGTCAGTGGGATGAACACAAGTGACTCCCAGTCCGTGGCCAGCAGTGAGCACCGTATGCTAGCTCTGCCAGTATTGCGATCGTTGCACACGAGTGCAGTGCACCGGGACATCGACAGCGCCGCCAAATTCATCGGCGCCGGTGCGGCCACTGTAGGAGTGGCGGGCAGTGGGGCCGGTATTGGGTCGGTGTTCGGCTCTCTGATCATAGGCTACGCCCGGAACCCATCCCTCAAACAGCAACTCTTCTCGTACGCCATCCTCGGGTTCGCTCTCTCCGAAGCTATGGGTCTCTTCTGCCTTATGATGGCTTTCCTCCTACTGTTCGCCTTCTAATGAATTCATTACATATTAATTATGTTTTAAATTTAGTGAAACTTTAATTCAAATGTCGACAAAACACAGACGACGAGTTAATTAATTGCAATTTTGATTATATTTGGTTTTATTATTATAATTATTGGTAGGAATTCACTGGAAAATGATTAGAATTACATCCAAAATGTCAATTGATTCAAATTATAATAAAATTTAGTCTTTAAGTCTACATTGTGTTGCCTTTCATTATTACCGGTTTATGCAAGTGAAATTCAAGTTAAATGATTGAATGCTTATTTAATATGTAATTTTATACTGTGCTTAAACTAAACAAAATATGAACACCACCGGTAATTAAGTATGCTTTTAAAAGTAGTACCGGTATTGATTTTAAAAGCAAAAATCAAATCACTAATTTTTGTAGAAAATATTTAGAATTATTCTGCAAAAGTACTGTAAGATTAGGATTCACAATTTTTACAATATTCATTGAAATTAGTGAAAAAGTTTTGAATGAATTCTGAAATTAATACAAAAATAATACTTGAGGCTTTTATTTTACACTGGATTTTGACCAAAACTTTTGGTTCTGTATATTAGTGGCAGAAGATAGCAATCTGTCGTTTGATACTATAGGGCTATAGGTATACTTAAACCATAGAATTGGTTCATATAACTGTATGAATACGGTATTGTATTTCATATGAAATTACTTTTATTAATTTAGTATGCCTATGCAAAATAATTGGTGATGCTGAGAATACCTTTATCTCAATTATGCAAACAACAGAATAATGAATGATGGTGTCACCGGTTGGAAATCCACTTTAATCCAGTCCTGTCTGTAGACTGTGAGATTGTAAGTTAGTTTTTGTCAAATGTAAAAGTGATTCAATAGAACAATTAAAAATATAACTTACGGTATTTAATACTAGCATAGCTAGATACAACTTACTGTATACAGTACCATATAAGTTGA